ATGAGTCGTGTGTGTGTCTTGCATTCTCTATGTCTTCATTATTACTTTTCTTAATTCTCCCTCTGCTTTCTCCTCTGGTCTCGTGTCTCTTTCGCGGTGAGGTGCGTGTTCCTCAGTTCTTCGTCTCTCCCTCTGTTCTTCACTACCTTATAGTCCCTCCTTTCTCTTCTTGTACTATATCCTTCTCCTTCTCCTCCTCATCTCTCCACCACCACCTCCTCCTCCTCCTCCTCCTCCTCCTCCTCCTCCTCCTCTTCCTCCCCCTCCTCCTCTTCCTCCCCCTCCTCCTCTTCCTCCCCCTCCTCCTCTTCCTCCCCCTCCTCCTCCTCCTCCTCCTCCTCCTCCTCCTCCTCCTCCTCCTCCTCCTCATAGTATTCATTCTTCTTTCCTTTCCTCCTCCTCTTCCTCCCTTCCCACTCTAGGCCCCAATCTACTATTCCTTCCCTTCTTCCTTATCTTCCTCTCTCCCTCCCCCTTTCCCCTCGCGCATTCTGATGTGTTGCAGCCCGGGCGTATTGCAACTCGTAATCCTGCCGTTCCTCTGCGGGAGAACGTGAGCTGCTCATCGTCCCCTCTGGCGTCTTCCTGGCGTTTCCCCATTTATTCATTTTCCTTTACTTCTGTTTCCATCTCCTCTTCTTTCTTCTCCTTCTTCTATTCCTTCCTCTTCTCCTTCTCCTTCTCCTTCTTCATCTTTTTCTCCTCCTCCTCCTCCTCCTCCTCCTCCTCTTCCTCCTCCTCCTCTCACTTCCACGGATGATTAGTGTTATTACCTCCTGCCAATATTTGCCGAGTCATGTCATGCAATTAATATCATCCGGATTAATATTTTAGTAATGAAAGGCTTCATTGTGAGCGGATGTTACTTTGCGCGCTGAGTTGTTCATTTGTTTCCTCAAGTTTTGCAAGGTAAAGCATTTTGTTTTTTTTGTTTGTCTGATAAAAGTATGAACTGTCTACACACACACACACACACACACACACACACACATACACGCGCGCGCGCGCCCGCGCATGTATGTATGTGTGAATATGAATAAATCTAGACAGCCTTTCCGAAATGACTGAGACCAATCAAAAATAATGATAATGATAAAAAGCAAACTAAAACAACCCCACAGAATAATAATGACATTTACTGGAAGAGAGTAAAAAAAAAAAAAAAAAAAAAAAAAATTAATGTCCTGTAGCTGAATTATCGCCCCTCGCCCAACGAGCTTGTTTTTATAGGCATGAATCGGGGTCAACAACCAATGCCGTATGTGAAGGAGGCCTATGCGGGAGACGCGGCTGATGCTGTCTCTACGGAGGGCGATGCTATGTGTATATGTGGATTTTTATGTCTTCTGTTTTTTTTTTTTTTTTTTTTTTTTTAGTATTCTATTTTGAGATTAATTTTTAGTTCATGTTTTTTTTTTTTTTTTTTTTTTTTTTGCAGATTTTTTATCTTCTTATCTTGTTTTTTTTTTTTTTAAGTTTGATAAATTATATCTCTCTTTTTAATCTGATAAATATTTTTCTTTTTTTTTGTGTGTGTTTTTCTTTCTTTCTTTCTTTTTTTTTCTTTATTTATTGGTTTTGGCGGAATGTTATTGTTGGGGGTTTATAGCTCATCTCGTCCTGATGCTCTATGTTGTAGACTTAGCCTATGGTTGTGGGAGTGTTGTGGGGGTGGAGGGGGAGGCGGGGGAGGCGGGGGGGAGTGGGCAAAGGGTTAGGGGCAAGAGAGGGTAAAGCGGGAGAGGTTGGGGAGAGGCAGGGGGGGGAGAAAAGGGTTAAGGGTAAGGGGGGGTAAAGGGGGAGGGGTTGGGGAGGGGCGGGGGGGGGTGGGCAAAGGGTTAAGGGCAAGAGAGGGTAAAGGGGGAGGGGTTAGGGAGAGGCTGGGGGGGGTGAAAGAGGGGGCTAACGGGCAAAGGGTTAAGGGTAAGAGGGGATAAAGGGGGAGAGGGGTTGGGGAGAGGTAGGGGGTGGAAGAATCAAGGTCTGATGGGGGGATAGGAAGAAGGGGGGGGGTTGCGATTGGCGAAAGAGGGAAGATGGGGAAAGGGGGAGGGAGAGGGGGAGAGAGGGGGGTGACGGAGGGCGTTTGCGATTGGCGATAGAGGGGAGGGGGTAGGGAGAGGGGGAGGAGGGGGAGGGAAAGAGGGGAGGATTAGGCTCGGGGAGGTTAGGATGCTGAGGGTTTGTTTGGCGGAGGAGTTAGGACACTTAGCGTGTGATCGGGGTTTCTTGTGTACTTGATGGAGTGGTGGGGGTGGGAGGGGGATGGGAGGGGCAGGTGGGGAAATGGAGGTTGGGGAATATATATAACTATATAAATATGATATACAAATATATATGTATATATGTATATATATATAGAGAGAGAGAAAGAGAGAGAACGAGATAAAGAGGGAGGGAGTGGGAGAGGGAGGGAGGGTGAAGGAGAGAGAGAGAGAGAGAGAGAGAGAGAGAGAGAGAGAGAGAGAGAGAGAGAGAGAGAACGAGATAAAGAGGGAGG